CTCGACAGGAATGTGATTGACATCTTTTCGACAATCTTTGTCCCAGAAACGTTCGGACTTTTCATTGAGCAGACCGACTACATCGACACGTTTCAAACGGCTCGCCTAACCTATCGAGAGGACGCCATCTGCATTTTGTACTGTGTCAAAAACAACGTGATGTACACGCCTTCAGCCCTGACGGAGATTGTATTTCGCGCGTTCGACACAACCACGTGGGTCTGTCTTCTAGTAGCCTTAATCAGTTGCGGAGTAGTCGTCAAGGCGACGAAAATCGGAAAATGTGCGTGGTTTGATGTCGTGTCGATTGTGTTTCGACAGCCTGTCGACCCTTTTAGCATGATTCACTTGACCTTGACTGCTGCAATGATTATAGTCCTCTTCTTTTATGAAGGTGATACCACGACCATGGTGATAAAACCGTTGGAGCCCAAGATTTTTAAAAATTTCGAAGAAATTGTGAACAACAAGTACTATGTGCAGACGGAGGTGGAAAACATTACTGAGAGGGCAGTCCCGGCACATCCGTTGGTGGATGAGAAAATTGTGAACTCGTCGGTTTATGAGGAGTATTTGGAAAATGAGAAAAGGTTTAGGGCGACTTTGGAACGACTGAGCATTGGAGGTAATTCAGGTACAACAGTGTAGTTACATTTATCTCAATATGAGGCAATTTAGTACGTATTTTGGACATTCAAAAAATATTAACTTAATCATTTCCATCTATTTGTGTAGTTATCGGTAACGAATTTGGTTCAGACATCTCATGGATTCATATGCACGAACTTGCCGTTGCCCACACTGGGAGACGAGCCTTCATCGTTTTCGAGCGGAACAAGAAAAATTCAGAATTCCACCAGAATGGAAAATCATCCGCAGAATGTCACATTGTTAAAGAGCCCATCATCACGAACCAACAGTTGGTCTGGGGTTTCTTAAAGGATCCGGGAAACGTATTTTTTAAAACGACCAACCAAATGTTCGAAAGTGGTCTGCTCTCCATGTGGTACTCCGCCTTCGAGCTGGACGCTTACATTCGACCCGGCGAGAAATATGCGGCCACCCATCGCGGTAACGAATTTGAAGAGCTGGTCATTCAAAAAGTTATTTTTGTCTATGCCATTGCTGGCGTGTTGGTGTTAATTTGCGTCGTGGTCGTGGCCATCGAGCGGGTAACGGTTCGTTACCGTTCGGGGTCTGGGTTACTCAAGTTTACGTTTTGTAAAGGCCGTGGTTTAAAAGGCGAAACGAGACGTGCTGCTAATTTGAAACGAAAAATTTACAGTAAGCGTTTGTTTATTTGTAGATTCACTCAAGAATAGTGATTCGCCTTGCACACCTGGGTTGCTTGCATTTTCAAGTTAATGAAACCCTATGTGCATTTAATAAGCTGGACAAGCGATACCTATTTTGAGAAACACAGGTGCCATCCAGTTTTGGAACATAAACAATATTTCCAAAAATGTAGACTCAGAAAGTCATGCTAAAAAAATAATTGCAAACTATGTATCGAGCCAAATGCATAGGTCGGAGTACTCCGGCCTCCTGAGGCCGGAGTACGCGACTTTTTATGGAGTACGGAGTACGCGTGGCTGGCTGGAGTACGGAGTATGCCAAATATCCGATCTATGATCTATGACTTACAATGGGTTAAAATTTAACAGGATTTCACAACAAAATTAATTACCCCAATCTTATTATTCATTTAACATCAACAATGCTCTAAATGTTCCACGAACCACGCCTTGGACAAACCTTATTACAGATTTCCGGGAAATCGTCATTAATCCTGGATACCCGATGTAAATTGGTTTACAGCTTTTCCTAAATTTGCTCATATACTTTCTATCCTTCGCACAATCCCTGTAGTGCTCGGTCGATCCAACTAACCGTCGAATCCGTAACACCTATGAATGTGCCTGCAGATCTGGTTATTGAGCTCCGATAAGGACACTTTAACTTGAAAACTATTATTATGCCTAGATGTGCCCTTTTTACTTAAACAAATAGTCCCAACAACTTCACTTTACTTCAATAATGTCGGCGAACTAATAAAGACTCGAAAACTGTAATTAATTATAGCAACTTCAATTAATTAGGACTTTATTAATTATTCTTCGCACGACCACAAATTCCAACTCTACTACTTACAATCATATATTTCTTACTACTAACTTAAAACTACGTAGTTCTTAGCTACCAAACCAACGCGCCCCTTTTCTTCTCATTCTCCCACTTACACTTACTCATTATCCGAATCCCTCCAGCCCACTCAATACATAGGTAATGTACGTACATAGGTAATGCACGTACATAAGGATCATGATTCTCCATAAGGATCACGATTCTCCATAAGGATCATGATTCTCCATAAGGATCACGATTCCCCATAAGGATCATGATTCGCCATAAGGATCATTTACCAAATACTCAAAATGCACTATCAAAAATTACTAGATGGACCAATTCATAACTCTACAATTAATTCTAACTTATATTCTATTAAACTATGACCGTGAATCGAACAATCCCAATGAGCCCATCCCGTCTTCCACGATAGGATACAGTCCGTCGCAGATTTATACATCATTCCCGCGCAGGTCAGCATAATCGTCCAGGACGCGATACAAAAGGGAATAGTGCCGAATAGGATGACCATGGTCATTCTGCTCCGCGGATTCGCGCCATCTTTACCTCCACTTATGAGCAGGTACGCAGTTGAGATGACAACTTGCCCAAGTACGGCTTGTATAGGAGGGATGGCGAGACCAAAAGTGTAGCACATGTCGGTCATGATTATTTGCAAGCTGCGATACACGACAACGATATTTTCCGGACATTTGAGAAATTCTGACACGCAAGGGTATTTTCTGTTCACTAGGCGGGAAGCATCTTGCCCAAGGCGGAGTTCCTGCCGCAGAAGTGGGAAAACTAGCATCAATTGTAAGGTAGTAGCAGAAATCATGATTTTAATGCGGCATACGAAGTAGAATAGAGCGTATATGTACGGAATTGTATAGAGAAGGTAGGTGACCCAGTAGATGAGTGTCCCGTGTGGCAATAGGTTGGGAATGTGGACGGAATGTCTGTGATCTATGAGGATATGGCCGACGCTAAAGACGGGCAGTAAGTTGAGGATGATATTGGCGGGGATCGTAGCTTGGAGGAAAGCTCGGTTGAACGTTATTTCTGCCATGGAGGTAGGTTCGGGCCACCAGTTGGCTGAAAGTAGATAATTTTGTTAACAATTAAAAAATGTAAAAGTTTGAAATTGATGAGCTATATACATGAGTTAAATAAGATGCGGTGCAAACTGATCAAGGGGATTAACGTGCAGGTAAGCTAAAAGCTAAAGCCTAACCTATCAGGTTTTGTCCAAAGACGATAGATGAATTCCATATACGAGCGACATCTCGCGTTCTGAAAGTTAGTACACTTGTCCCGAAGGACATTCCAAGAACACAGTAGAAACTCAAGAGGAGAAAGTTGAAGTGGGAGGAGCCCTTATTGTGAATCGTCAGTGCCAAAACTATGACCGTACCGGCGTAAAGAAAGAATTGCATGGCTACAGATATCGCGTAATTTGTATGCGATATGGTCAATTTTCTCAAGCGAGGATCCCATATTAACGGGAAGGAGGATCGATTTGCAAAGTTTACGAGCTCCTCGAACTTTTGGAGAGTAAATACCGTAACCATGATGCCATCGAGGTGAATTTGAGTATGTACTTATGAAGGTTTCTGTGATGTGGGTTTTATAAATAATGTTTTCAAGGGTACATATGTCTGGTATATTTCATTTTCTTCAAATTTTCTTGACTGTTGAAGGTGAAGGTACAGATAATTAGATCAATGCTGTAATTGGGTTGTTTATATAATAATGCATTTATTGTGTCCAGAACGATGGGAATTGGCTTGACAAAAACCAATTTCAATAGCTATGTGAGAATAAGAAATTACTGTCGTCGCCATATCAATCATGAAATAAATACCTACCTACCTACATGTATATATAATTATATTCGATGACGACAAGCTCAAATAATTTCAAGGTTTATTTAGTCCTTGCATGGAGTGACTCTATCTCATGAAGAAAAAAGGAATGATTGACAAAATACCACAAGCAGGTTTCCAACGTATGTATTTTAGGGATGAAAGTTGTTGCAATACGAATGTTTTTTAAATAATGTTTTGACTAGATTGTCCAACGTTGGACTGGGTCAATTGGACTAGTTTCTAATTGTATTAATTAAAATTCAGAGTATGAATAATGAAATGGAAAGCAAAAGTAATTAGATCAGCGATTTAAATATAATTTATAATTGCATAATCGATAGGAATTGGTTAAAAAAAACATTTTCATTAGTAATTATATTATTTTGACCTTGTATCGAGACACAAGGGAACAAATTATGATTGATAATAAAGTAGAATATACGGCAAACTAGCCACGATTGCTACTTATAGCACACTTGCAATGACAAACTAAATACATACGTCGGTGTATCCTCATCACTTAACATTATTATTTAAGAATTAACATCAATATACTTATGAGTGTCATCAAGAAATAGCTCTAATTATAGTGCCTCGACTATAAACCAGTTAAACCTATGTTTTCTATGGCATGATGAGATAAGAAAAATCAGCGCGTACTCAAAATCATAGGTCGGAGTACTCCGGGCTTGGAGTATGTACTCCGGCCTCCGGAGGCCGGAGTACGCGACTTTTTATGGAGTACGGAGTACGCGGAGGCAGGAGTACGGAGTACGGAGTACGAAAAATATCCGATCTATGGCTAAATGTACCTGTTCACTAATACAGAATGTACGTAGCCATTAGCATTTGCTTGCACATAAAAACCTGACAATTTAACTTGTGAACGTAATTTGGGGATGAAAATATGTAATGAATACCAAATTTAATTGAAATTGGATTGTGTAGTGCTTTCAGTAGTGCTATGAGTTATGATACAAAGTGTAACTCGTAAATTCAAACATATTTGTGATAAAAAGTTTAACCTTTATTAATTATTTAGCACTGTTGGTAATAATCCAGTCGACATAGTAAGAAATTTGCGTATTGACGCTGGGCTTATCGGGAAGGGCACACCCTTCCAGAGCTCCCCAGGCAATCAGGCCGACTAACGGGCCTCCATTGACTTCCACCACTGGACCACCCGCATCCCCGTAACACGCCTCCTTTCCGCCCTCTAGCGGTCCGACGCATAACATGGCGCGATCCACGTAATAGTCGGGGTGCATGTATTGGCACGTCTGGTCATCCACGATGGGCACCTGAAAAAATGTATGTAGGTAATTAAATATAAATAAATTTATTTGAAAATTTGAAAAATCGATCATCGAATTTCGATCAGGAAAAAAACATTTCACCATTCACACTAGGGCATCCAAAATCAGTTTTTGAAATTTTCGTAAAACCGGTTTTCGGTTTCCATAATTTGAAATCAGTTTACACAAAATCTTAAGGTGACCGTTCAATATACTGTAAAATTTAAAGCATAATAAAATTTGGGGATTAATTTTGGAAAACTATGTGTCAGAACAGTCCATTTTTATCCTAAAAACAAGATACGTAAAAATTTAGTAGATCCAAAACAATTTGATATTATAAAACAAAATATATTTAACTATTAGAAAATCGGTTATTATGTGCGACAAGGCCGTTTTAGTGCAAAACCGAATTTTGGGTAATATTTTAAACGGTTGTATAAAATTTGATAAAAACCGGATTTGAATACCCTACTTTACAAACAAACAGCACTCACCTGAATCCATTGAAGTACATCAGGCCTCGTCCCATTCTGGTGAATCGCACCCCACCCCGTCACCACCATTTCCGCCGTAGTTTCGTGCATAAAAGCGGGAAGTGGGACGGGTCGAACGTACTGATTAAACTCGAACGGTGTGTCGACCCGCAAGATGGCGATATCGTTGACCAAGTCGACCCAGTCGTACGACTCGTGGATCGTGAGACTCACAACGTCCCGGTACTGCTCATTTTCCCCCGTTTCAGCGTGCCAGTGTTTCCCGCCAATGACGGAAATCTGGTTAGCGGAAAAGTATTCGACACAATGGGCGACCGTGAGGACGAGGTCGTTTCCGATTATGACCCCGCCACAGGTTGGGTTGCCGTTCGGTTTAATTCGGATTAAGGCATGGTATGGGAACTGACCCTCCGTGGCGGGAGTTCCGCCAACCACTTTGCCATCCTGGTTAGAGCGCAACGCTCGTGGGGAAGCTGGATAAAATTAAATTTGAGCTGTTATACATTTTGAAGTTAATAAAATCCACACAAATTTTGAAAAATTTAAATTTTGAGATACAAACTTGGTCACTAAGAAAACTGTCAAGCTTTTTAAATGAAACATTATAACAACAATTAAGCCTTCTACTTTGCTGGTTAAAATTTCCACAAAAAAAAAATTTATGCTTTCTAATCTTGATTTCAATAAATTCTTATTTTAAGAAATACAAAATTCAACAAATGGCTTTCAAATATCTGCCAATATAATTTTTTAAACTTAGATTTCTTAAGAAATATAAAATCAATTATTTACCAAAAGTGGACCCAAGCGTGGCCAGTGATAAGAGTGCGACGATCAAATTATACTTCATGATGGATGCTTGATTGGACACTGTTATGAATACGTACCGAGCTGGAAGACTGCATCTTGTATTTATATCGAATAAACTGATAACGATTCGATCGTACGATATTAATTGCCCAACCTAATTTTGATTATCATGCATCATCAAATATTGCACCTTGATCCAGAATTGGGTGATGAATGAACGTAAAGAAAACATACACATTACGTAATGAACCAATGAGGGTATTCATGGTTCCCTCACAATCTTTAGTATTCTTCGTATCGTCAAAGAAGTTACAAAGGTTATGCGAATTTGGTCATGGCTGTACGATTTTGCCACCAAACGCCATGTAATTAAAGTTACGATGTTTGCGAAGCTTAGCCCTTTGATTTTTCTTCGTAAACTATTTGACGATATTAACAATTTTGAACACCCTTAATCACATATTATGAACTCTGCATGAAATATATGAAGGGCAATTTTTTAATCTCTTTCCCCCATCATGGGGTGGTCTACATGCATCGGTTCATTTCCAACTCAAAATTTGAAGCAAGAAATTTCAAACACCTCTCAAATATATCATGTATGGACTTTGCACACCAATATTTTTAACCATTGCGGACTAAAAGCATTTTTATGTATAGCACGTCAACTGATGAGTTCTGTTTGTGCTTTTTATGCGATACATATTTGCATACAAAGATATGTATATAAATAAATATATACTTGTTCACTCGTCTAATTTGAGTACGACGGTCAATTTCTTATCTGCGTGGGTTTCATTATCTGAGATAAAAATACATATATCAGATGTGGACCATGGACCAGAAAGTCATTAATCACATCATCGTCATGAATTACTTAATCGACAAGAGTACCTACTGTCAAGAGCCTTTATTCTTTAAAGTGTTTAATACGTACATATGAGTTATGACTATATTTTATAAGTATGGATTTACTTACATATTTAGAGGCAATTCACGTCACCCATCTTAAGGGGGTGATACTAATGAAAGTGGCAGTTGGTTTATTGTGTGTAAAAAAATGAATGGCAACAGGAAATTTAGTGAAATTTATATAAATTATAGATGGGGACTGTAGCTACTTATAATTGTCCACCAATGGTCCAAACACTCCATTCCTTCCGATTGAGCCAAGCTTTTTGCGAACGGTCGCCATGAACGTTTTGCCACTGGTTTTTCCAACGAGTTTTATTATTGCCGTCATGACCTGTATAAATTCTCGCAAGTTTTTGGGTGGTTTTTGTCTATTGGAATATTCCTTCTTGATTAGTGCCCAAAACCCTTCAATTGGACGCGCTTGAGGAATATTTGGAGCGCCGTCTCTTTTTTCAACAAAATCGATATTTTTGCTTCGAAAAAAATCGGTCACAATCGGTCACAATGTCGTCATGTCCATGACATGCTTGTTTTTGATGAAGGGGGTCAATCTCTTTATGATACACTTTTCAATTAGAGTTTAGAATTCGAACTCTTGCAAATAATAAATAATGTTTCTTGAGAAAAGCTATGTCCACTCTCTTCACGACTTTCACCGATCCCAGGAGGGCAGGTCGGCCAACTGATTTTTTGAAATATGCATTTCCGCGTTCCTCGTATCTGTCCAGTACTCGGTTAATTTTGTTCCGATGCATTCCTCCATTTGCAACAAAATTGCGAGTGTTTTTTCGATCCCTGAAACAAAAATTTTGGTGCGTTTTGGCAAAACCGTTTTGCGACTTTGTCGGATTTTTTTTGCTCTCATTTTAGAACGAATAGAGATAACGGATTTTGGTTTTCGGATTCAGAAAGCTGATTAAATTCCGAATGAGACGTAATAGGCTTGAAAAATTTAACATGACTCCTAAAACAATTAAGCGAGCGGGGAAAACTGCCACTTTCAATAGTATCACCCCCTTAATTCCGTAAATACATTTGCATAGATCAGCTTACGAACGAAAAACATGCCTTTGGTTTTTGCACCGTGAGCAAAAATTGCCTACGAGATGTTCGTAAAGTTCATCCAAAGTTTGTTAATTTCGTAAATTTGGGTTGTCACGGACTTACAACATATGTATTTATAAAGGCTGACGTGAATAGCCACATTGTGTAAGTGATAAGCAGATTTATTTACCTGCAATTCTGATGAGTATGTATGTAAATACTACTACGTAACTATTTTATTTGGACGTTTACATAAAATATTTAAAATTATTTAAATTTGTCACATTTTGTTCAATTTCAAGAATATTTCTTCAAGAAAAATTCGTTAAAGTTTTTTAATGGCTGGAGAAGCCCGTCCACTAAGTCCACGCTTGTTGGGATAACCAATCTAAACAAATAGGAAAGTGGTGGAAATATTTGTAAATTCTACATGGAACGATTTATTGTGGGGGTTTTCATTACGAGTTCGCGTAGTTAGCAGTGTCTGCAAATAAAAACTTGCCGTAAAATTCAATTGCAAACTTACTTATCTCCAAGGCTTGGATGGCATTTAGTTCTAATAAAAAAATATGTTACAATTCGAGTTCGTAATGATTACCCCCCTCTTTCGAAAGTTATATAAAATTACTTAATGTGACTGTAAAAAGGGGGCAACCCAACAACAGATCCAACTTCTACATAAAGTCCTGTCGCCTCTAACAACTCTAGCGAATAAAACACGTCAGGATAGAAACCAGCATTCAGAGCCAGAGTGCCTTTTCGGGAATTGTGATCTAAATATGTACATAGATCGAACTTTTAATTGTTTAGGTTTGCATAATAACGTAAATTTCTCTAATGTGTACATAAATATGTACCTTTGGAAAAACTACATATCCTCCTTCCACCCTGGGTTGATAAATGCCTGGAATGCTATTTAACCCTTGAACCATTTTATCCGCAACTGTTTTACGATTCGAAAATATGGCGAGTTTCTCTCTTTCGAACATAGCTTATGATTGGTCCCGAACAATTGGTGGATTTACCATGGCAAATAGTCCGACCTAGAAATTGTGTCCAACATACATACATAAATGCATAAACAATATTTCTAGTTGCGCTGTGAGAAATTTAGCATAATCACACAACAGGTATTGGTTTCTCTGCACTAAAGTTGCTACCGCTCGGTATTAAAATTATGCATACCAGTCCGTAAAATATTTCTAAAAATATGGTGAAATCTTAGCTACATACACGGTACTGCTGATCAATACAGCTATTTTGGCAGAGTTGCACTATTGTATTTAAGCTTGGTATTACTTTAATACAGGATTTTTTAACGTGCAAAAAATACCTTATGTAAATTACCTACATACCTGCCCCATTAGATTTGGACACTGTTTAACCGATAAGAGTTGCACCAGTACGGCCCGGATGGCAAGATCGACATTAAAAATTTCCATATAGCCGCCGCGCAAATTTGGCTCGTTTGTGAATCCTGAACATAAAATTAACTAAATATTTAGTCCTCGTGACTAGTATGATTAATTGTGTAGTTAATTAAGTGACATTTACCCTTCGAAATTGAGTTGAAAGAAATAAGCTCCACCTTATTAAATGGGTAATTCATCTCGGCGACAACTTTACGCAGAGAAATGAATGGCTCACTGCTTAGCAGGGTGAGCTGATAGACCTGTCGGAGAAAAGTGGACCCAATTAAAAACATCGTGCGTGATACGATCGGAGGATAATTCCTCCCGCTCATCTCCTCCCGCTCGTCTCCTCCCGTATACATTTTCCTCCCCGTACCATCTACTCCCCGCTGATTTACTCCCGTATACATTTACTCCCGTGACATTGTTTCACTACGGTTCTAATCATTGTCCAAAACAGCCCTCCAAAATGCACAAAATGTATCCAAAATAGAAAATGCGCTACAATGTTAAATTTTCTTTAATTATCACCATGTTTTCAAATATTTGCCAAGATACGCAATCTCCCATTAGTTATGAGAATTTTGAATTGTAGTACAGCACTATCTGGAAAATTTCGTAATTTCCCATAAGAAAACATATTTAAGCAACAAATTCCAAATAATACTATATAAATGCTCAAAACGACTTAACAATGAGAATAAAATATATCTACCTAGATTTTCAAAAAACTGTAACAAAGAAATTGCAACATTTTGGCCCATTTCCTATTTTGGACACTTTTTGAGCTTTTTGGACATTTTGGACGGCTGTTTTGGACAATGATCAGAATCGTAGCGAAATAATGTCTTCGCCAGAGGTGGAGACAAAGTGTAATCCGTAGAGGAGGTGAAAAGCAAAAATTCAACCTTTATTCAAGCATTGCGAAAACTCCTAGACTTGCGTCACTAAAATCGTCTTTACTTTTTCAAAAGTGATTTTAACACGGAAATTGTTGCATATTGTTTCACACCGATATAGTGTGCAATATTTGCATATAGTGGGATATCTGAACTCTCCACCCACCTAAATAGTATACCTAGTAAGCTATAGTTCGCTTTTTAAATAAATTCTCATATCTGAGATACGACTTAAAATGTGCTGACTTTGACAAGGGATTCGTCGTAGATTAGTTTTGATACCATTTCTTACAGAAACTCCGTCGCTGACTCCATTAGTCAGCAGGATGTCGTCCACATCTGTGGTAATTAGACATGGACCGAGTACTCGGCGCTGCCGAGTACTCGGCAGGTTTTGACCGTGCTCTCACTACTCGGACTCGGCCGAGTATTTTCTGCGTGCTCGGCCGAGTATTTCTTAAATTTTTATATGCATCCAGCATTTTACCCGGTACTTACACCGAGCGGTTCAAATCATCCAGCATGTAATTTTTGCAATCAACATCAAACTTACTTGAAAAAGACACCAATGAAATTTGTTAATTCTATCCGGTAATCAACTTTAATCGAAATGTTGGAACAGGAAGAAGAATCAGTAGCTTCACGTGATTCCGTCCACCAGTTCTCAAAATTGAGGTGCTGGTAATTAAATATTATGTAAACAATGATTTTTTGATGATCTTTTTGACAATTTACTCGGTGGCCGAGCCTTGCTCGGTACTCGATTGCCGAGTTTTGCTCGGTGCTCGGCAAACGAGCAGAAACGAGTACTCGTCAAAAATATAGCCGAGTACTCGGTGCTCGGCCGAGTCGACTTTTTCGGTACTCGGTGCATGTCTACACATGTGTGTGTATACACACTAATTCATAAATAAGTATAATACATTGTTGGAAATCCGGTATAGTCAGGCAGGTATTGATTTTTCGGTGTTAAAGTTGCTACAGCTTGGGATTATATCTGTCCATAAAAATTTGATATCAACATGGTAAATTTTAATACCGGCCTATTACTACTTGGTACTACTTATGTATCAAGACCACTTTGGTATACTTGAATACCGTTTGGTATTACTTTATTACTAGATTTCTAAAAGTGTAAGTATAGCAGAAAGATTGAGCTCTAATTAATTGCGAATATTTACACCGGATCAAATTCAGGGCGTGCCTAAACCTTTCAGTCATGTGGTTAACGCCGCATTCGACACGTTGGGTCCACCAACATTGCCAAACACGTTTCTTCGTCAGGTATGTAAGCATGCCACAATTTCGGCACAATTAAATATTACATATGTATAATGGAACGTTCATATATTACGTCACGAAAATGGGGGGTAGGTGATTTTGGGCCGCTCATCTTACTCATGTCAAACTTAACGTGGGAAGGATAGGGAAGGGATTGATGGGTGGTGTAAAAATCGGATTTTTTTTATGACGTAATATATGCATGGACGTTCCTTACGTTTAATGTGACAAAAGTATGATAAATATGCAGGTGACGAGTTCGGTGGGCTATCCACCGCTTATGAAGCTTTTGCCGTCCGATGCTGTGGAGAGGGCGACAGCAATTTTAAACGAAAAAAGTATTTCATGCATACCTAAAATATATATTCTTGATATTATAGAAATTTATAAAAAATATTAACTTATCATCCTGAAACTTTTAGAAAGAGAGGAAATTGTTCTAGATGGATTTAAGCTTGTTAGGGAACACGTGACAAATTTTATTTCCCAACGGGACAACGTTACCACGCACATGGACGATATCCTCTTGACTGATGCCGTCAGCGCTGGACTTTCCGTAAGAAATGATGCAGTGTGGGTTTGATTTCTGCTCTTTTCCGGAAAATCGGGGGAATAAAATCCTGGAGAATTCCCATGACCCACAGGATAATGCTAAAATTTCCGAAAAATCCCAGGAATCTTTCTCAATTTCGAAATAATTTTCAAAACTTCCCTGAATATATTTGAAAATTCCAGGAACCTTTAAAAATTGCCAAAAAATGAGAATTTTTTAATGCTCCAAAATTCCCGAAACTTTCAAAATATTTTCGCAGGGTATAAATATGTAGACATATACCCTACCCTTCTTCCCTGGATTCGCCCTCCGCTTTGCCAGTAAATCGAACCCACGAAATTATGTGCTATTCGTTAAAAAATAGGGAAAAAATCTTAAAGGTTGTCTGGCAGATTTACAGATTTTAACTTTGTAGGAAAATTAAAGGACTTTTGCCAATCTTTTTTGAACGAACAGTAATCTTCACTCAATCCACTGATTTCATCACGAACACAATTCTTATCAAATGTACACTAATATCCAAATAGTTGGCCTTTCAATTGATCCAATTGAACGATAACTTACTCCCGGCCGGAATTATGGTCCCCGTTCCGCTATATTCATTGTACTCCAGTTTAATTTCAAAGCATGGATTGACACGGGTAATTAAATGACTTACATATATAAATATCTAAATTATTTCTAAAAAAAATCTCTACCTTACCCAACCCCAGATTAATTATCACTTATCCATCGACAACAATTGGGAACTGAAACAGTCAGAGTTGGACCGTGCGTATAAAGAAGCCCTGCGATCATGTCATTGTCAACCTCGAGCTATTGCTATAATAAATCCGGGAAATCCTACAGGACAAATTTTTCGAAGAGAGACAATTGAAGACATAGTCAAATTTGCGCATCACAGAAAGGTCGTCATATTTGCGGATGATATAAGCATGTAACTAAGGAGATTACATATGTAGTCAACAATTTTCTTTTATCTGGTCCACTTTTTTCCGACAGGTATTTCAACTCACCCTGGTCAGCAGTGAGCCATTTATTTCTGTGAGGAAAGTCGTCGCCGAGATGCATCACCCGTTTAATAAGGTGGAGCTTATTTCTTTCAACTCAATTTCAAAGGGTAAAGGTGACTTCAAGGCTGGTACTCAGGACGGATTATTCACGCAAAACGGCACGTTCTGGTTTTTCCAATAAATTACTACTTCACTGGAATTACTTAGAAGTTTACCAAATGGGATTGTTCCTTAAAAACGGTTGCAATATGTTGCTTAGTTTCTTATTCTCGTTTTTGCTAATTTTTTTCATAAAGAATATCCGTCATGAGTACTATTCTTTACTAATTAATGATACACTCTAGTTGTGCAAAATTTACTTAAAATAGAGCGCGATACACCAAAATTGGGGAAAATTTATCCAGTTACTACGTTAATGTCTGTTTTACACAGGCTTGAGTAAATTTTATGTATTTAACTTAATTTAGAGTTTCCTAATCACGAGTAACTGCTTAACAGTAAGAAATTAGAAACGCATTCTTTGTTAAGGGTTCACCAACGAGCCAACTTTGCGTGGCGGATATATGGAAATTTACAATATTGACCCTGCCATACGGGCCGTATTGGTACAACTCTTATCGGTTAAACAGTGTCCAAATCTAATGGGGCAGGTAAGTTAAATCATCTCTATCAAAGTACCCTAGACTTGTTCACCTTAAATAATTTGGCGATAAGCCGTCACCCTGGGAGGTAATCAAGGGCTGTGTTTTTGGGTGATGATGATACGTTGTATCACCAATGAAAAATTGTAAATCGTAAAATTATGTGCCATACACACGTGATGTAGTTATTTTATTGAACACTTGATCTAAATATACAATTTTTGTACGTGAAAGTATTAAATCTGTTAATAACGACGCGTCGTTAACGACATCAAGTCTATGTGTAAATATGAATTATTTTCCTTTAGTGACGAAACTTCACCTACATATATCATTACCCAGAAATAGAGCACTATAGTACCTCCGCGGGTGACAACTTGTCACCGAATTATTAAGAGTGTATGTTTGGACACAATTTCTAGGTTGGGCTGTATGCCATGGTGAATCCACCAATTGTTGTGGAACCATCATACACTTTGTTCGAAAGAGAGAAACTCGCCATATTTTCGAATCGTAAAATAGTTGCGGATAAAATTGTTAAATTTTTAAATAGCATTCCAGGCTTTTATCAGCCCAAGTTGGAAGCAGGATTTGTAGTTTTTCCAAAGGTACGCATCATCAGAGAGATGACAAAAATCTAGGAAACATATATTCTTTAAAAATTGTAATTATATATGTAAATGATGGTTTGAATGTCACGCTATAATGGAAATTTTTTTATGAGAAAAATTCGTAAATTTCCACTAGATACTGAAATCAAACATTTTAAGATTTTTCGTCAGTGTTCCCCAGTTTTGAAAATATCTCATTTATAAAAATCTAAATCCCAAATCTTATAAGTAACTACATAATTAAGCTATAGGGGCTTTCCCTTTGCAAGATTTTCCACACAGCGAGACATTTATCTACTTAAACCATCCTGTACAATTTAAAATTAACGAAGGATTTATATCCATAATTTTTAGATCACAATTCCCGAAAAAGCAGTAACTCTAGCTGTGAATGCTGGCACGTTTCCTGACGTGTTTTACTCCTTGGAGTTGTTAGAGGCGACTGGAATTTATGTAGAAGTGGGGTCTGGTTATGGTTTGCCCTCTAATCAGAGTCACATTAAGTAATTTTATATTTCCTAAAATTTCATTCCAGGCCAAACTTTAATTTGGCCTCTCTTGTTTCGTTTTTAGACTGATCATCCCAACAAGCGTGGACTTGGTGGACGGGTTTCTCCAGCCAGTCAAGGATTTTAATGATATTTTCTTGAAGAAGTATGCTTGAAAATTAATCAAATGTATCTAATACACTCAGTTGTAACAGATTTAAATGATTAAAAAAATATTTATACCCTAAACTAAATACTCAGAATTTTTGCCAATGATATTTATTTAAATTGTTGTATGCAAATCGAGACTCTCGATTCGAGAGGGAAGGATAAGACCGGAGTCGCACTCGGAATTATCCTGTAAATACATATATACATACAAATGCATATTTATGATATCAGGGAAAAATACATTTTTAAACAAAGTCACATTTCTAATAAACCGCAACGCATACGGTTATTTCCTGTTCCGTATAACGGTTTCATATTCTAACAATTTACATATTTCTGCTTATTCCTTCACCTTGCTCTCATTCACACACGAGACGCGTCCATGTGCAGTGAATCCCTCGCCGAACTGCAGACGACATCTGAGATCGAAACTTTGACAAAGAAGGCTAAATTTCGACCCTTTCGAAATACCACCAAGTGCGCGCTTTCCTTCCATTTCATCCTCATTGCACGTTTTACTCTAATTACGAAGGAATAGGGGATGTCCACCAATTATGTCACGCGTGACAAGAGGGAGAGGATGGGTCTGAAAATCTTAATTTTTACGTGACATAACATATGGGTGTTCCCATCTAACTACATATTTACTGATATTGACGTTCGCCGGTCGTCTAATTTAGCAAACTTGAAGCTAAGAAAAATTAGTAATATATTGTTTTCGACACCGGAAGATACAGATTGAATTCATACTTAAAAATAAAAAAAAGTAGAGCGATGCCTGGTAGCGGTCAGGTAATAAATACATACACTTTTATTGTCTTATGTATGTGCACCTTTATTTTTTTAATTATAATAAAAATTGCACATTTACATATTACAGTTTTTATGCTACTTCCTCCTTACATGGATTATACAGGACAGCTCGATAGGAATAAGTACGATTCGTGCTGAGAATGCAACTGTATCTAAAAAATTAACAAATTGGGATAGAAATTCACTGACTATTGGTCTGGTTAAAAGTAATTATCGTAAAATGGAATATCCATTCCATAGCCAGGCATATTACCGCAGGCTGGAAATAATTGAAGAGTTAAAAAATGTAGGTGATTATCTAAATGAATATGTACATATATTTATTCACTATCGATATTAAAAGATAGTGAATTAATTTCATATTGGTAGAAAATTTGTACGGCCTTGTATAATTTTAATACCAAGCGCTAACAACTTTGATACCGAATGGCCAATATCTGCTTGATTATGAGATTTCTGGCAGTGAATGTACGTACGAAATAAAAATCAGATGCAATTCAACCGAAATATTATCAGTTCCAATCCATCCAAAAAACTTCTGATCCAGTTGGATTGGATCGGGCAATGGATTATAAAAAATTAATATATAGCTATGTACACTCTAAATAATTTGGAGACAAATCGTCACCCGCGGAGGTACTATACTGCTCTATTTTTGAGTAACGATTTAGGAGACGTTTTATCACCAGGGGGAGATAAGTCAAAAAGTCATGCACCAAGCACACGTGACGTCGTCATTTAAAAAATTTAATACTGTCATGCAAAAAAAAAGTCTTATTGTCAGATAAAAATGTTCAATTTTTTAAATGACGACGTCACGTGTGTTTGATACACGAGCTTTTGGCTTGTCTCCTTCTGGTGATAAAACGTCTCATAAATCGTTACCCAAAAATAGAGCAGTATAGTACCTCCGCGGGTGACGATTTGTTTCAAAATTATTTACAGTTACATTTACATTTACATTTATAAAATTATTTACAAAATTATTTACGGTGTATATGTATATATCTAATACACTTTCATCTTATCAAATCCAGGGTGTACCTAAACCTTTTAATCACACTGTTGACGCCGCACTCACCATATTGGGCCCACCAATACCACCAAACACGTTTCTTCGTCAGGTACTTAAATTGTGACAACTTTTTCGATTTTTTGAACGACTATAATATTTAAATCCGCAGGTGACAAGTTCGGTGGCTTACCCACCACTGATGGAGCATTTTCCGCGGGACGTTACCGACAGGGCAAGAATAATTTTAAACCAAAGTGGTATTTCGTACATATTATTATTTAAAATTGTATACATTTTCACAAATTATTAACTCGTCGAACGGATAATTTTAGATACACCAGTTCCACTCGTTTGCCGAGCACCGAGCAAAACTCGGCAATCGAGTACCGAGCAAGGCTCGGCCACCGAGTAAATTGTCAAAAAGATCATCAAAAAATCATTGTTTACATAATATTTAATTACCAGCACCTCAATTTTGAGAACTGGTGGACGGAATCACGTGAAGCTACTGATTCTTCTTCCTGTTCCAACATTTCGATTAAAGTTGATTACCGGATAGAATTAACAAATTTCATTGGTGTCTTTTTCAAGTAAGTTTGATGTTGATTGCAAAAATTACATGCTGGATGATTTGAACCGCTCGGTGTAAGTACCGGGTAAAATGCTGGATGCATATAAAAATTTAAGAAATACTCGGCCGAGCACGCAGAAAATACTCGGCCGAGTCCGAGTAGTGAGAGCACGGTCAAAACCTGCCGAGTACTCGGCAGCGCCGAGTACTCGGTCCATGTCTACACATGTGTTTACACAGACATGTACATAAATACATTAATTAATTTGCATACGTTCTTTAGCTCTTCAATTATTTCCAGCATGCGGTAATATGCCGGAGTATGGACGAGATACTCCATTTTGCGATAATTGCTCTTAACAAGGCCAATGGTTAGTGAGTTTCTATCCAAACTTTGTAATCTTTCCGGTTCGGTTGAATTTTCAGCCCGAATCATACGTATTCCTGAACAATTGTGCATTGTAATCCATATGAGAAAGATGTAGTGAAAAACTGTAATATGCAATTCTAGTTCGTCAAATGCATAAGTAAAAAATTTGAATATGTAAATATGCAAAATATAAACGTACAAGAACAAGTGCGTATTTATTACCTTGGTGTTATCAGACATGGTTCTATTTTGAGGTCCAAATTCAAATTGTTGCTTCCGATATGGAAAACAGGATGGGAACAATATTTTGTATGTATTTTCTTTACAGATAATTAAACTGCAGGGGAATTGATGTAAATCTTAATAAATAAGTAGTTGTCCTTCGTCTAGTTTGTAATAAATAACTGAGAGCTTGTTCAAAAATGTTCATATTCTTAAACGACTCGTTAAAAGGTTATTAAGGACCGATTACCCTAAAGTGCAACTTTTATTCGGAAGGAAGCTGAATATAACTGTATAACATCCTACAAGTAAGATGTATTGCTTTAGTATGTAAATATACAGATTATGGAGCTTATTTGTATGTACATAGGAGGTTTCGGTTGACAAATATACTTGTCATTCAAAACGCATTATCCTAATAACGGTTACAAATAAAAATGTTTAAAAATGCGTCCTACATACAGTAGAAACTCCAGCCAGTAATAATTTAATACCAGTTGCCTAGGAGGATTTGTACATACATCATCAAGCTCTGAAGATACTAAAAATTATATACATTTGTATGTGTAAGTTATCGAATTTTTTAATTGAGTTGAAATTGACTGATGCGTAGTAAACGGTTTATGAAATGTTTATTTCTTCTTACCTAAAAGATTGGATATCTTAGAGTGGCAATGAATGAGTGAATTTTGGATTCTCACCTTGTACATATTTACATTCACATATTTATTCGATTTGATATATCAGCAATTGCATATCAAGTTGCATAAAGATGTCAATAATAAAGCACTTAACGTCACCCATCATAAGTCCGTAACCAATTAATCTTTCAAAAAACATGCCCTTTATCTTCGTAAATTTTTATAGTTTATGTATGCATGTACGTGGGTACAGACAGAGTGACGAAGGTTGACGTGAAATGCCTCAATAAATTATTACATAAATTGTCATGCATCCTTCTCTCCACAAGTTTTAATTGCCGTTATCCTTCAACCAATCCATGACAACCTGTGCGCTCTTATCCGGCGGGAACACAGGGTAAAAGACCTTTAATATTTTCCCCTCCTTCGCCAAAATCGTGACCCTTTTAACCAACACGCCGCACCCTTCAACCTCAAAAGTTGGAAGGTTTAACGCATTGACAAATTCTTTCTTCTCATCGCTCAATATGTTGAATGGAAGGTGGAGTCGTTGCCAGGCTTCTGCTTGATAAGCCGTGTCCTGTGTGGATAAGCCGAAGACGTGGGACACGCCAAGTTTTTGCAATTCTTTGAAGTGATCCATGAACGAGCAGGATTGCGGGGTGCACCCTCTCGCACCTGGGATGAGGTCCCACCCATCCGGCAAGGGTACACCAGGCTGCCCAGTTCGTGGGTAGCAATAAATGACCACGGTGCCCGGGAGGGTGGATAAGTTGACGGTCGAACTATCCGTTGCCGTTAAGGTTATCGATGGGATAAGTGTGCCTGGGATTAAGTGGTCACACGCACCATCATCTTTCGGCACGGGGAGGTCGGCTGGCAGGGGGAATGACATGTCGGGTTGGGATCTTCTAGCTGCAATTTAATTATAATAAATGAACGTTTAGAAATTTCAACACAGTGTAAAGATTTTTTATCACTTGACTACCAATCTATTTATCAAAAGTATTACATTGTAAATTTGACAAAACTCTTATTTGGAGTGTAGTACTTAGATAATATTAATAGTTCAAACTGTAAAATTTTAGTTACCTTGGTTACTTTCTCTTGAAAACTTCAATCACTAAATGAATTATGGAAAGAGAACAGAATTCACTTTGCGCATAAGTGGATGAGTAGTGGGCCAATCTGCTGATTTTGGAGTTGTTGATTGACTCAAGGTTAGGTTACGTAACCTTTAAATGTATGCACGTACTTATGTACGAGCGATATAGAGAGTTATTCAAGATCGCGCATAGCACACAATTACTTATAAGAGTGCGAAGTATATAATAGGGTGATTCATTTCAGGTCAAATTTTTCCATGGCAATACATTTTTCGACTAGCAAGAATTTTTTCATCCAAGCAAATTTGCGAAGTTTGCGAACTTTATTTTGCTAGTAATTATAAGTACTGACTAATGATGAATACCCCTAATATCTTAGAAATTATTATATTGCGAATTTGTCTTACATGAGAATTATCTTGTATGATAATCAATACTCCCACAAATGCTAGCCATGAAGAGAGCAGGGACTTGGGTAGAGCTTAAATTAGAAAAACACAAAAACGACGTTTATGTAATATATGTAAATAATACAATGCAAATTGTTTTTTAATGGGTGTCATATGTATGTAGTGTCTTGATACCAGATACACAGATAATTCCGCCCAACACACAAAGTACATTTGCATGCAACAACCTTTATAAAATTTTGCAGTTCGCTTCTTTCAGGAGTGAGAGAATTCCCGGCCTCGTACACACTTCTCGTGAAACATAACATAAAAGATGATGGATGATGGGGACATCGAATAAGCCTGAGGACACCCCCCCCCCCCGCGGCTACTGATTTATTATGTATTTTTTTACTCAGTTAAATCAGGAATACATAATCTCTTATTCTTATGTAGATATTTATTTAGCCATGCAAAAATATAACGAATTTCCCATGGCCATTTCGCAATAATTCACCACAACGCAGAAAACACTAGGTTGCACACAATTGAGGGATTATCCCGATTTACCGTAATAGAACGGTCCCAGAAACATATATCACTACCAGAAATATTTAATATCCTTTCTAAAAGAATTTATAAACATTTGTATGTAAGAATGAGAGGAAATAAATGTTTTGTTTCAAAATGTCACCGCCCCGCTGTCATTGCAAAGTTACATTTCAAATATTATTGTAGTATACGTATGTATAAAATTACTGTATTTTATTTTAGAAGTGACATAAAACTTATCACTTTCCAGGTTACTTTAATCATAAAAGGTAGTAGATACATAACTAATCTGAATTATGGATATACAAAACAATAGGCAACTAAATAAGTAATCACGGCAAAATGGATGCTAGTCTTTCCTTGGCGACGATCACCTTATAACTAAATGCACTTACATATGTACATACATGTTTAAAAGCCGAGTCCATACAAGGTTCCTTACTTTCCATTCTCGTCTCATCGTCGTCAGTGTTGATATTGTTATTCATCACCACTGGTTATTTCACCACAGACCAATGTCGACAACTTTTCTCATTCAACGGATTAGTTTGGCAGTTCAACGCGGGAATGCGGCATCAATCATGGGAGCTGTCCCCAGTCAACGAGGATTAGAAGAATTATTTTATATTTTAAATGATAGGTCGTTTTATTTACAAAAATCATGTAAGGGGCCGAATGGTGATCTCGGACGCCTATCCGGATCAAGTAAAGGTTTTCCCAACCCACCAACATCGGGTTTTTCCTCTACTCCCCAAGCCAACTAAGTGTATTTCATAGTTTATCAATGTTTATGTTAATAATAAATAATACCCACAGACTATTCCTTGCTATTAAAGAATCACATACCATATATTTACGCATTATTTTTTGCTAGGTATACCTAGCTAAAAATGTTTAAAATTTTTGACATGGATTTCACCCAGTAAAATCACTGAGACAATTCATGCAATCCGTACATACACATGTGTATGTACGGATAATAACACATAATAAACACCAGGGTACCCACTATGTTTTTTAAAATCTACTAGGACCCCAGATGAAGGATTCATTCATATTTCCGTGTAAAACTCATATTTAGCGTCGTAACGTGGCGCCAAATTCGCGAAATTTGAATGTTTTTATTTTTGAAACCGACATAACTTTTGAAATCCTAGACGGATTTTAAAAATTTTTGGCAAAAATCATGATAAGGAGTTCAACTTTCGTATTCCATGAAATTTTTTCCAAAATTATCGCTTTTAACTTTTTGCAAAATTTCGTAATTTTCATAGAAATGGGTGTTCGTCAAAAAAATGCAAAAAATATCTCAAAAATTAGAAACTTTTTATTTTTATTTTTTTCTCAAAAATTTCGACTTTTGTGATCATTTTAAGCATAAAATTTTGAAAATCCGACATAAACTGCAAAAGTTATGAGGGTTTGAAATTTGTCTAAAATGGAAATTTTTAAGTTTGGAGCCACGCCATGGCGCAAAATATGAGTTTTACACGGAAATATGAATGAATCCTTTATCTGGTGTCCTAGTAAATTTTAAAAAACATAGTGGGTACCCTGGACACGATAAGCAGTCGGGGACCTTCCCTTTGTGAGTAAGTTTATAAAAACTAAATAAGTTAATTTTCCTCGGAAGTATTTATATACATAAGTTTACGGATTTTATACCAAGGACTGCGTCAACTGTCTCACTATTCTGTAGCATATTTGACAATAAATCAATTGTACCAGAACTTATTTATACAAGCTACGTGAAAACCGTTTCCATTGAATAATCCAACATCGTCTTAAAAACAAATACTTTACTCTCCCTGTCCAAAATGAAAAGGGTTATCTCCCCAATTCCAACACATAACGCAAACGGTTCCATGCTTCTAATCCATCTCGCCATCTCCTTCCTTTTCCTTGCTTCTCCAATATTCGCCAACCCTTTCCTGTACTTACACAATAATTCTTTACTCTTGTCGTTAACGTAGGCGCTATAATTACAAATCATCATTTGCAGATAGTTCGCAGTGAATAGGCCGAATCCGCAAATTAGTAAAAATACTACCCGAATTTCCCCATGCCATCGGACAAGGATGTACGAAAAACCGACGGAACTCACACCAGTCATCGTAATTGTGAGGAAGGAGCCGAATTTATTTATCGGGACTGGGATTCGATAAAGGATCGCGAGGTGATGATAGACTTTGAAGTGTTGCATGCCATCTTGTCTTCCGAGGTGTAACACGCGGTCAAAGTATGCGTCGGCATACTTTGCCTATGTTTCCGGCCCAGACGAAGAGTCGGATAATGCGGTCGAGAAAGACGGGACGACGGGATAGCTTTCGTTCGGCGGGGACAGCTAGAAAGATTAAATAAGAACTTGTCAGTTTGTTGGTTAAGGTCGTGAAGTGAAGTAAACTCATGTACATAAGTTGTATACTAGCACAAATGAGTGTTATGTTAGAAATTGGTGCATCAATTTTTAGCCAAAAAATATCATAATTCGACCGATAATTTTATGTAAGTAGATTTTCTTGCAAATCATACTTATTACATATGAAACACATAAGGCGGAAGTTATATTTTGCTAAATATGTGAAACTCGTACATACGCAGTGACAACGACTCAGGATTGATTTGATGGGTGTCAATTGATGACTTCGAATTGATAAGTTCGAATTGCTGAATTAGAATTGACGAGTGTAAAAATGACACATTACAACACTCAATATACATACAATTTATGTATGTAACGAAATGAGTTAAGAAAAAATCCAATAAATTACCTTTTCCCAATTGTTGGATGTATTGATCCGTCAAGTTACAAGTTTGTATCAAGATGTCGTCGAATCCCAATAAAATCATGAAAAATAAGAAAAAGTAAACCACTTCCATTACGAGGAACCATTGGTAAGCTGATAAAATGAATCGCCGACTTTTAGTGATGACCGGATTTGTCATTCTCCACGGTATTCCCAACCCCAGGACTATCGTGTTAACGAATGATAAGGCAAGTGGAGCCATCGTATGGATAAGCTTGCCCGATTTGACGAGACGTACACAGTTTCCATTAACGGAAACTTGGATGGGGAGTCCATACCAGAAAAACGGTCTTGCGTAGTATAAAAGGTTAAATAATCGGACAGTTTCTGACCGATATGGCTTCATTTTGAACTTTGGCTAAATGATACAACCGGAAATTATGTATATCGAGATTGAGGTTTTAAGAGGAATTTGCCTCAGTGATCAATCAAAGTGTTGGTACAATTTGCACCTTGCTACACTGCAAAGTTATGTGCGTAGGTCCACACCCATCTGCGTAATACACTTAAAAATCCGGTATATTTAATCAGATATTGATTTCTCGATATTAAAGTTGGTACCACTCGATATGAAACTACATCCGTTCGCAAAAATTTACTACCGACATGGTAAAACAATATCGAGCTATTACTACGCGGTATTACTTATCAAGTCCACTTTGGTAGAATCATATCTGAATACCGCTTGGTAACTACCCATCACTTTAGATAAGCCTATCTAAATATTTGTGTGTACATTGAAGCTGGCGACCATATCTGTTGTATGCATATAGTTCAGCAGAGGGCACATGTCAAATACACTTCAAGCCTACAAATTCCTTAAATTGAATACTACATAATTATGGCTGAAGTAAAATTTATCACTTCCGGTAAAGTAAATATAATGGAGTTAAAATCCGAAAAACTATAAACACATGGCCGAGCATATATACCTACATAGTTCTTGCCGATTTGAAATTACGTAGTAAATACATATTTACGAGCTCGTACATATGCTGTGTTTATACTTACTTAAATTAAAACTCAACTTTACATTTGGATATTTTTTATGATATGGTAGGTATAATTAGCACGGCTTGATTTGTATGATTTATCTAAATACATGTGCACATGTTCGGACGCTTATTTGCTAATTCTAGTAATTAGTGCACATGTCACTGATAACAAATTAACGAGAGCATTGATTTTGTATTTAATTTAAGGATGTCCATCATTTTGCAAGTTGTATAACACAATCATTAGCTAAAAGCTAAACTAATAGTGTAAGGTAAATATTGAAAGGTATTTATGCACATGTATTAATAAGTGTATACACTTATTAATACAAATATGTGTATGTATACACATACATATTTATATTTTTATGGGGACAGATTTAAAATATTTCTAAATAAAAATACAACACAATACTTATGAATTTATGTATCTATTTATGTACCTATGTTGTAAAATACCAAGGGAACTTGGGAATTAAATCTAACTACGTATTTATCTACCTACCTTTCTTGCCTAGAATTTCAAATAAAATGCAATATGAAATTTCTTGAGAACAAAATAGTGAAACTTGACTTGAGACTAACTTGTTTTTATAGAAACCATTCCAATTTAAAAAAATATTTCCTTTTATGTGGTTATGCAACTGAACTTCAATACGGACTAGTGTCCATGTACATACACATGCATTATGCATGCAATTAAATACATGGTAATTTAGCAGCAAGGTTAGGATTACATGGTAAGTTATTTGGCAAAGCAAAATAATTAGGTTAACATGGCAACGGAAATCCGAGAATTAAATGACCAAACTGTTCTGAGGATTAGCTCGATACATATTTAATGCGGTTACCAATTGGAGCTTTACAGTGCAGTGTCAAGCTCCAATTAAGAGGTTAACTCTCGTGCAAACTTTGTATGACGGTTGACGGAACGATTTGCGTCATTAACTATTTTGTGACGATGCATTGTCACAAAACAGAGTTATAAATTTTAGCCACCCCTTTAGAATTATACGCTTTAAAAGTATATGTATGTACATAGCTGAACTCTGATGAACTGTACGCTCTTAACAACCCGTGTTAATGGTCATCGAATGGTGTGCATATGTGACTTCACCGTGCGGTGATAACGTTTCCCACCTAAAGCTAAGTATTCACCTACTTTTTTTTCGGCCGAAAAAATTCCGGGCGAAAATTTCAACCGAAATATTTCGGCGAGAGAATAAGTTTGGGGCGAAAATCAAAATATTTTCTTCCATAATTTCTGCCTGAAAAGGTCACGGTATTCACCTATCTGATATTTTCGGCAGACATGATCTCAGCTGGGAATTAAACCACTTTGATATTTTAATTATAAACCTATCAATTAAAACATTTTATTAAAGTTTAAAATTTTTTGAAACTAGTTGAAGAAATAGAAATTATAAAATGCATAATCTGAATCTACAAAAGATAAATAATGACAAAATTTGAAATTGGTGCTTCAAATTTCGCCCGAAAATGGTTTTCAGGCGAAAACTTTTTCGGCTCACTTCAGCCGAAAAAATCAACCAAATTTCGGTCGGGCGAAAAACCGTCCCAAGTTTTCAGCCGAAATATTTTCTGAGGTGAATACCGTGAGCCGAAATAGGGGCGAAATTTTTTCACTTTTCGCCCGAAAAGTGTGTTTTCACGCGAAAAACATGAGGTGAATACTTAGCTTAAGGGTGGTAAAACTGACATCAGCCAGTGACAATTTGTCTCCATCGGGGCAAGATTTATCACCAAGCGGTGAAAAACATTATCGCCATTTGGTGAAGTAACATATGCACACCGTTTGGTGACGATTAACACCGGTTTTTTTAAGAATGTATGCATCTTGTGCGGTGACGGTTAACACCGGGTTATTAAGGGTGTAAATTGCATTTTACACGTTATCGAAACGCAGAATGGTTATCACCCCATTGTTGTGGGCCTCACTGGATCGATTTTCATTTCTATTTAGCTTCATGCCTAGAAATCCGATTGAATGGAACCCTTTAACCGGAAGGCTTGAAACGGCACCGCTGTCCATTAAAATGATTCCTTACGTTGTCTCAGTAATTATAGAGTTCTTAACATTTCTCCTACCGCCATTAATAATTGGATCGTTTAAGCTGTTTGGCTTAATAAGTGTTCCATTAGATGACATGGTAGTGTTAATAGTGCTCTTACTGGTGGGTTGGATTTGTTTCATGGGAGAAATTCTCGTGGCAACGACTGGCTACCAAATAGTCTTCTTGATGAACTACGTGGGTGTTTTATTATTGATTTTCAAAAGGTATGTTCCGCACTGTTTCTGACCAAACTTTTGATGAAATAACAAACTGCAAATACATGTAGGATGCTGTGATTTTTTTCAGTTCTATAGGTTAACATTATCACTAGCAATAGCTCATCAAAATTTACCTCGAAAATATGCCAAAATTTACGACTTGATTTTATTATCATCAGAAAACCGTTTCCCCTGATGTCTTTCTTTAAGTTTCGAAACGAATAATAATCACCAGGGGTCATGTCTGGACTGTACAGGAGGTGGTTTATCTAGGTGAAGCGATTTCCGTCTGCAGCAGCCCTCGCAAAATGCCAGGTATGAGGTGGGGCTTTGGCGTGCTAAAAATGCACCAACTCTTTTTTTTTGACCCCACGTTTTTCTTCAACCAGAGCACACAACTCCTTCGGGATTCCTGCATAGGCTGCCCCATTTATCATAGTATTTTTACCAATAAATGTTATAAGGAGGGGACCTTTGATATCCTTGAAAATGGGAATCATCAATTTTTTGGCAGGTTTTTGCACTTTTGCTTTCATGGGCTGGGGCGACCCCCCGTGCTTCCATTGTATGAATTATTATTTGGTCTCCGGGTCATAATAGTAAACCCAAGTATCATATCCAACTATTAAAATATGAATCAGGTTCTAGGTTTCATTTGAAAGGGCAAAACTTTCATTCCAAAAGTCGATTCGATCCTGTTTTTGAGATGCCGAAAGCAATTTTAGTACACAACGGGAGGAAGCCATTTTCATACCGAAGTCTTCAGTTAACATGGAACAAATTGTTAGTTTTGGAACACCCATCTCATCTGCTAAATAGGACAGTTTCAATCGCGGATCTCTCATTATTGGTTCCTCTAGTTTCCGGAGCCTTTCTGTGGGAGAAACAGATTTTGGGCGTCCTAGCGGCTTTTTGTCCGAGACCTCTTTTCGCCATCATTTGAAATTATTGACCCAATTGAATTTGTGTTTTGTGTTTAGCAGTTTTCATTGTAAATTTTAAGCATACGATCATAAATCTGCGACACCGATTACCCCTCCAGCGTTAAAAATTAAATTACACTACGATATTTAATTTGCAAATCTGACATTTTTTCCGTCGAGGTAAAGTTTGATGATTGATTGCTAGTGTTAATGTTAACCTAAAGATCTGAAAAAAATCACAGGATCCTAAATGTATCCGAAGTTTGTTATTTCATCAAAATTCTGGCCAGAAACAATGCGGAACATACCTTTTGAAAATCAATAATAAAACACCTACGTATTTTATCATAACGGGCAAAAAGTTAGAAGGTAGAAGAAGTATGTGAAATATATAATTGAAATGTTTGTAACCGTAATTTGTATGTTTTTTTAACTATGAAACTTGCACATCTAATGGGGACGAAAACCATGTTCAACCTAGATAATTTTTTTCACCATTTCTGTCTGATTGGCCAACACTATAGCAGCAATATTTTTTACGGTACGTGCGCAAATGTGAAAAAATCAGCAAGTCATGAGCGCCGCCAGTTAGCTTGGTGTTGCTGCAAGCAGGCTGGAAAGCTAAGCGTCTTTCAAACGAAGATTGTCCAAAAATCATCTGAACTGAACATGGTTTGCATGCCCATTGTTAGTGAATTATTCACTGGGTTTGATAATCTATTCCATAAATTTTTATCTAACAGGAGTTATACCTGAACCAGGTAAAAACATCGACATTCTTGGCCACGTGGCCAATTTGGTAACTACAACGTTCGGCCTGTACCCCCACTTTGCCACGGTCTTCTTCCTCCACACCGAAATGGACCCGATCTCACAATTTTATCGATTTTTACTCCCCAAATCGCGCCTTCTTTACTTCATTATAATGCTATTATTACGTCCAACCTTCATCTGGGTTACATTTCTTCAAATTTCACGCTTCTTTACAATGGTCTTTTGTATCTGTACAATCGCCGAGCGTTTGGTATTAGATCGTATCTCTGAGATGAACAGAACGATCGGAAAATACTGGACGAGCCGCTACGAAGTGCTGAAAAACCATGACATTTTGCAGATATTGCTTCAATATTCGTCCGACTTGACTACAAATTTGGTGGGAATTATAAAATTTGGCGGGCTTATTTTAAGCGTGGCTTTTAACTACGTTACCCTGTCGATGTTCGACGTAATTCCGATGAGATTGTATCTCGCTTTTGCAATTGTTTCTGCTCTGCTGCCCATAATTATTGAGTCCATGTTGCCCCCACTGGTTGACGTTTATGAAGAAGAGGTTAAGCTACATTGGAGGTTGGGTCGAAGCCTACATTTACCATGGACTTGGAAATTCTTGACGAAACGGGTTAAAGCTGCTAGGATTTTAAGAGTATATTGTGGAATTATGCAGTATAATTTTTACCATTTAAAAAAATCTACGAAGGTACGATATTGGTTTATAATTTTGAATTATACAATTTCCGCTTTGCTGGCACGAAGGGGTAAAAGATAGGATTGCAATCAACGGATTTATGTAGCTTTGAGCGTAATGTGTGAAGCTTTTTTATATACGTTCGAGATTATATCTTTTTTTGGAAAACTTGGTAAATTTTTATCTGGGGGAAGACCGCATTTAGTCCATGTACAAGGTATGGAAAGCTGATTTGTTGAATATGTGTGTACATATCTTACTCAAATTTATTTTCATGCCAAATTTGTAATGCAATTTTTAGATAAGTTGTGTCAAATTTACAAATATTATTTGACATTTAATGATTGAAGTACATGGAGTTTTAGTTAAAAAAGAGAAAAGAAAGTTTACTTTATTTGTCGATATTTAGAACATAATATACCAGTCATTAAACATTATTTTTCATTTATTCTTGCGAGCTACCGAATGATCAGTAAACCGTCATGATTCTCTCCCCATAATTGTCCAGGCAATGAGTACTTACTTGATGTGTATTATGGATAGTACAGGTAAATATGTATGTATGTACATATTTACTTATGTTTTCACTATGTTGGAAAATCCAGATATAATACATGTGATCAGGTAGGATTTGAAATTATTTTCAAAGAAAGTTACTACCAAAATTGGTAGTTCCAATGTTAATATAGCATGCATTTAATAATTAAAAATTGGATCAGTTACTGTCACTTTAAATGACGAAATTGTGTTTTATTTAGAAGAAATCCTATGGAGAAAATAGAACTCAGTATGCAAATAATTTTGCATGGAAAAAGGGGAGGATGAGCAGGCCAATTTGTGAGTTGCGTGTTTAATCAACCCTCCCCTACATTT